TCCCCCTGGTTCACCTCCAGGAATTGAACGATGGCACGGCTGGCCGCCTCTGTGCACGCAAACACAAACGCGCATATTTTAATGCATGGAGGAACGACACCTCAGTGGAAGAAAGCTACTTGTTTTTCAGAGGATAAAGAATATATGACTGTGAGTACTATGATATTGTCTTTCCACGTGTGTTGCTCCGTTTTAGTTTACGCAAGTTCAACTGGGAGTGGCAATAAACCAATTCAAACCTCTTTTTTGATTAATTGTTCAATATTAGCCAAAATGCTACTCACTTTTGCATCACTAAGTTGTCCTTAGCTTTAAACATGAATGCTTGTTTGTCTATACGTGCCCTGCGATTGGCGGGCGACCAAAGGGGTGCACTACGACGCACTGACCGGTGGATTTGTTGGAGGCCCTGCGTCTGATCTCGGTCACCATAAGACGGGACACCTGCGTGGTGAACTGCAGCAGGTCCGAGAACTTCTCCATCATGCTGCTGGGCGCCGCGTTGCCGAACACCTGAGAGCAGACACATGTAAAAAAAATACATAAATAATAATTAAATAAACACTATCATAGCAAATTTGTGGAAACCACCAAGTTCTCCCCCCCCCCCCCAAAAAAAAAAATCATCCAACATCAAATACTTCAACACTGGAAGCAACGCAGCTTAGTGGAAGACTACAAAATGAAGACAAAAGACTATGGGGAATAAATCAATACAATTATTTGACTCGATTAAAAAAATTATTTTATCGTATAAAGCAACAACAAAAAAAGCTATTTTAAAGCATGTGAGGTGCAGGTATTAGAATTATAGTCCATTAGGGGTCTCCATCCTCACGTTGAACATTGTATTATCGGTGACTTTGAGCGCGTGTGGCTTTAAAACGCTGGGTACTGGCCCGGTGAGTGACGTGGGTGCCAGCAAATAAAAGTAGTGCCTGTTGCGAGTTCACGTTCGCGGCTGGCTGTTAACTGGCTGACCTTAACCAGCCTGGGCGTCAGTTGGGGCCACCGTGCACACGTGTCTTGGGGAACGGATCTCGCTTCACCTACCCTGTTGAAGACGGGCAACATCATGTAGAGCTTCTCCTCTTGCTCCTTCTGGGTCATGTGCCGGGGAGGATGGCAGAGTTCGGAGAAGAGGCGGCGCAGGTGCATCAGGCCCAGGGCGTTGTCCTGGGGGCTGCACTCCTCCTGACGCGGCCGCCCCATGATCCTCTTCACCATGTTCATCTTCAGAGGCTTGCTCAGGACGAAGCTCGCCCTGAACGCAAACGCAAGACGCCCGTTTATAGACTGACGCCAGCTTTCGGAAGGCTACGCAAAAATGCTAGCTGCACGCTTCACCCGACAACGCCGTATCAGCAAGTCACTCTGTGATTTGGTGCCCGAAATCTTTGACACCGAGGAAGGGTCATGAAAATTTACGGGAGAGGTTTTTGCACATTTGAGCGTTTTTGTGAACGGAAAGCAACCAACGGGTAGTCTCACTTCATTGTACAAT